TTTCTAACTGTTTCCAAAGGTTTTTATCAAAGATAGTAGCCGGAAGTAAGATCTTCTAGGTTTTTTTTATTTTTTTTTTGAGAAATATAAGCTTTCCCTACGATATGTGAACATACAAAACGAATGAACATTAATTCAGATACATTAAGTCCATTTTTTACACAATGGAATCAGTACTGATTGTCTAAACCCAGAGGTGTTCCTGCCATTTAAATTGTGTAACAGCTGAATATACTCACTATGTAGCTACAGTATGTAAGCTCTTGAATATGCCTTCACAAAATGAATTTTTTACTACTGATTACTACTATTACTACTGATTGAGGACCAGTTGATTCTCCATTGTGCGGCCTTGGGTTGAAAATCCAAATGTAGATCTGTGTTTCTAATACAGTTTTGGTACTTTCGATACTTTTGAATAGTAGTATATTGTTAAACATGAATAGTACTGAAGTATTGATACTTTTAACCAACCTTAGTTGGAATTATTCATTCTTTGACTAGAGGGTGTAATAAACTGTACAGATTATAAAGACCGTTGTGGCTTATTTGTGATTTTCGGTTGCATAAAATCAATTTAACATATTTTGATTTTAGACAGATTCCCTGTAAAACCTTTTGCTATGTTGTTAGGTTTTTAATCATTATTATTTATTTTCCATTATTCACTTACTGTGGTATGGCAGTGAAGCAGGTTTCAGTGTTTAACCAGATTTGAGTGGCATAGTGTTGTTATGCTCTCTAGTGGTCAGCTAAGAAAGTACATGCAGACTGCAGATTAATAGCCACTGTGCAATTTATGGCCCGGGGATAGGGAGTGTATTGGTCATCTTGCAAGTGGCCACGTTCTTACCTAAGGACATGTCACTCATCTTGTTGTCATGTTTCTTGTGTACCAATGGCATTTAGCCCACGCGAAGGGTTTTCATAAAGTCATCTTAAGGTAGTGAAGACAAAAAGCTATACGACTGAAAATGTAAGTTCTGACCTTGAAAAGTTTTAATAAAAGAAAAAAGAAACGTTGATAATAAGGTGAGGCATTCACCAGTGTTTCCTACATTCCTGGCTTCACTATGCTTTTTTTCTTAAGTTGTTGCTGTATCTTTACTGAGCTTTGGTCACCAACTCATGGTTCTCCACACAGCAACAATATATGGCTCAAAATATCCCAATATAATTAATTTATGAAAGTAAAATTAGATTACTTTTCCATACAATCTCCTATAGATATTTGTGTTCCCCTTGAGCCTGTCTAGGCCAATGTTTTCAGGTGTACAGAAAAAATATTAAACACTAACAGATGTTGAAATGATTGAACTGATAAGCCACTCAACAGAAAAAGCATTGGAAACTATTTTCCTAATCAAAGAATTGTTTGTCCTTTTTTAAGCAATTTGGTAAAAATCATTCCCTAGTTCCATCTATTTGAATGATCACCTTGGACTGTGGAAAATTGTAACATATATTTTCACAATTTTCGGGCATTTTATTAACAAGACGATTACAGATTAATCAAGAAAATAATCAGCAGATTAATCAATAATGAAGCAGTGAAGCAGTGCAGGTTAGGTAGGAAATCAATAGGTTTGGCAGTAGTAGGGGAACATCCTTATTAGTTTTGGTCTGTTTATTAGATGACATATATGGACATTTTTCATGTACACATTAACATTAAGGAGGATATATTTCCAGAAATGGAATATAATGTTCATAGGTTTGTTTTTATTAGTATATAATGATTTGAAAATAAGAATTGTGTTTTCATTACCTTAGAATGAGCCATGTTGAACGGCCATGTTTCCTTTGTAGCCCCAGGCAGGAAGGCTGAGCTGTATTCAAATGGTTGCAATCTGCAACTTCACCAGTAGATGCCACTGAATCCTACACACAATGTCTTGAGTGTCAGCAGTGTAAAATGTTTCTTTAGATATTATCATCACAGTGCTGTTTCACACTATTTTAGTGCACAAGACCTTCCAAGTTTTATTACTAATTTATTTATATGAATGGATATTACTTGTTGTCTTAAACTGACTTTTTTAAGGAAATCACAGTACTGTCTATTTCAGCTCTCTGATGGGTGGAGCGGCAACATTTAGTGGTATTATAAATTTATTTGTAAAATATAAATAATTTAAAAATATTTGGTGTGATTAATTGTTTTAAGTATCTTTTAAGAAATAAATTTGAAAATTCTTAATTTAAGTTATTAAATTAGAATATTATATTTATTTAGTTTCTAGGGCAATAAACTGAATATCTTAGGGTTGTGACATTTGAGGACATTATTTTGTGCTTTAGGAAACGGTGATCATACTAACCACTGGTTCTGTTCCATTCAGGTCACACAGAGTCAGGGTGCTGCTATTGTGCATGTAAGAAAGCCCTGCTGGAAAGGCTCTGCTACACTAAATAGAATGAAACCTTAATTAGTATCATTGTTAACACCAACTATTTCATGTCAAGAAGGCAGCTATGAAAAAAGTATATTGAATAACCATGCATCGATTTATTTTACATGCTAAAAGGCATGGCCTATTTTACAAATTACCGTTAACTGTTGTTTGCTTTCTGCTGCACGGGTCAAATGGGCTTTCTGTCAGCTTGTGTGCCATGTCAATATATGGTTATAAACTGATGGAAAACCCAGCAGCGAAATCCCCCTGTGCAATGCTATTGAGCCACTGAAGCGTAAAGTCTTTATGTAAGGCGGCAGTACATACCTTTAGATCATCTTTATGTAACTGGATAAGCAAACCACTCAGGGAATCCTGTATTTGAAGTTCAAAGAGGTTTTATGGTTGTTTGAATTTGAATTTAAGTGTGAGGCAACTATACCATGTGATTATATGAGCATATGAGTAAAAATGAAAAAAGATGCATAATAATGTAATGTAATGGAGCAACCCCCTGCTGACAGTCATTCAACAGTCAGTAATTTTAATAGACTTTATCCTGGTGGCTCAGATGGTCAGAGCACATGTATTGTGTGTCCTGGTTTTAAATCCAGCATGGGACAACTGTTAGACGTCATCCCCTTCTATCAGTCTTTAACACTTTTTTAACACATTTCACGCATGATAAATAAATTAAACACATTTTTTTTTTTAAGGATGTCACGTATGATAAATAAATTGTACTACTAATTCTAAAAGGCTTGTTGATAATACAGGTGCTATAATGTATGTATAAAACATTATGCATAGATATTCAATTGTTAATATTTATGTATAAAGCCTTTATATCAAAGTTGATTATGTGTAAGTCGTTGATCATAATACTTAATAATACCACAGGAAAATTATTTTCTTTTACACTTTTGATTAAAGTGAAAGAAATCACATAGGCTTTTGTGCTCCATGATGTGGTAAGCATAAAAAGAATGTTATTTGAAAGATCTTAAGAAGATCATGCAGAAAAATTAGTTGAAAACCAAATGAAAAGTTTATTTCCAACCACAAAGAAACACATGAAAAAATTGAACAGTAGCACCGAGGACAACAAATACTGCATATTCAAGAAGTAAATGGTTCAGTTATTACTGCTGTGCCAATAAAGTTCCTGAGAACATGCAGCATTACTCCTTTTTATAAAATTATAATTCATACAAATGATGACAATGATCAGGTGA